CTTTATAAAAAAATCTTTTTTTTTTTTTTCTTTCATTAGTAAGTAACTACCTGTCAGATAATACATATTTTGACATGGTTGAAAATGAAGATTGTGCTAGGTTGTTAATTAAATTTAAAATGTACTTAGATAGATTAAGTATGTATCCGGAAAATTTATATTATATAAATAAATAATGACATAAAATATAATGTATCATAGACGAATCAAAAGTGAAATTACGTTATTCAAAATTACGAATTTTGTGTGACATTTAGTTTTATTTGATATTGTGTATATATAAAGCTTTAGTTTAATATACATATTTTTTTTAAATTGTATGCTTATGATACTTTTTTAACCCGCTTACACGCCATCAAATACTATACTTAAAACAAAAAAAAAAAAGAAAAAAATATGTATTCTCTTTAGCTAGAGTCACTCGAGTAAGTTCTATTGTAAGACCAATAAAAGTTTCTCTGAGTCACTCAGGTAAGCTCTACTAGTTTTTGATTTTTGTGATACTTGCAAATTTTTTAAAAATTGGATATATCTAAATTAGTTTTTGACTTCATTTACGGAAAGTCACTAAATTTACCATTATCATTAACATACTTCCATTAACTGTTTACTATTTTTATTTCATTATTTTAATTATTTCATTCCAGTCATAGATACATTTATATCTTGATATAATAATTATCATTCTTTCTCCCGAATGATAATTATTAGAGATATAATAATTATAAAAAATGCACCCTTCAATATTGTTATTGTTGTAGCACACAAAATATTAGAGATTATATTTGTAAAATATTAGAGATTATTTTTGTACTTAACACAAATCATCATACCAAATATTGGTCCCTATAGGGATGATACATGCACACAAAAGGCATGATACATCTAAACAAGACACCATCTATCTATAGATGTGAAGCAATGTGAAGCAATTGGATGAAGTTTCTGGCATACATATAAAATTCATGACAAAAAAAATCTCATATTTGTCCATATCCACATTAGACATTCTGTGTTCCCAACATTATTTGTCGAGTAATGCTATACAGCCCACTGAGATGACAACTTGTGTTATAACAAAAGTGTAAATACATTATTTTTTAACTTTTTGACAATGCTTTTACACTTGAGTTGCAACTCAAATTGTCAACTAAGTCGGCTAAACAGCATTACTCTTCTTTATTGTATATGATCTTGGATATATAGTCTCATCATGCATGGGCGGTTTGTAGAATTACACAGGATAAGTAATTGTATCCTTGCCTTATCATCTGTTTGGTTTCTATAGCATCAACCGGCATGAAATTTTAACAGTTGACTTGTTTTCATCTATCTAGCCTATTCTTGATTATTTAACATCATTGTCATTGTGCAAATTCACCACGTAATTGAAATGTCTTTTTATCTCGAGATGAGGAACGCCATAATAGGCGGCGACTGAGCGTGGCAGAGGGTCCATCGTGTTTGGGTTGCACAGTTATTGCATATAGGATGAGAAAAATAGATGGAGATTGATTCAGAATAATGAGAATAAAGTTTTTTTTTTTTTGGGTCATTGTTTGTGTCGGCAAAAGAAAAATGTCAGGAACAAT